ATCGAAAATTTTCGAAATATCATGATCACAGGAAAAGTGTGATCGCGTGATATTCGTTCTAGGCCTCAAAAGTAGGGCAACGATCATGCGAACAGAAATTATTCTGACATCTTCCATCCATTCTGATTCGTGCGCGTTTGTTTCGTGACTTTAAACTTGGCAGTGAGGCCTGCCGGAAAATTTCTACGATATGCCATGCTGATTGCGTAAATGAATACTATCAAATACGCGGCTGTCAAAAATAACCGGGAACCTAATTTTATAGTTATAATTGCACCGTAATTTAAAAGAGTCACGTTTGGGAAGGAGAAAATAAGTTCATTAATTTATTGAAAAGAAAACGTGAAAAAATGTGATAAGGTATCAATACTTGCCAAAAAATAGTTTTGAATACTAATATAATACCACCTTCAGCTCTTCAGAATGTGTTTCTTCAGAAACCAAAGAATCGATAAACAGAAATAACGAAATAGAACGAAGGAGAATACTACAAACGAAATATTATTTCCGCATAGATTAGTCCAAGTTTGAAACGTATTAATGATCAACCATTTAAGGTCTTACGTCTTTCATGTTTTCTTAATTTATGGCGAATTAATATATCATATTAATTCGGCCTTTGTTAAAATATAAACGTATATAACGTGTATGTCAAATACAACATTGTAACTTCTAATATTCATTTTCACAAATAATGTATAACACTATTTTGAAATAGATTCTGATGCATGCAATTAATCCTGAGTAAACATGCCATATTCTTTTTACTGATAAAGCAAGTTATCGAACCCGGAAATTCAAAAAGTTATGAAGCTTTGTGTGTAAGTAGAGTAAGTCAAGCCTAATCGATTGCAATTCTTTTCGTGTCGAATTTCACTTTGGAGGGGTGAAACCACCCCTTGAAAAGAATGTAAATTTTTTTTTCTCGTGGATTATCTTGAGAGCGATAAAAGATAGTGACAAAAGGTTTAAACAAAAAATACATTGTTCTTCCGCGTCTATAAAATTGTAAAATAAAATTTGTCAAAAAGTTATGTTATTTTCACCACTTTGAAAAATTTGAACATTTTAACTGAAACGGTTAATAAAAATGATGATTTTAAAGATTCGTGTTTATTTATTCTTTTTACAATGAGCATTAACAACTTTCACTTTCTAATCGTGTTTCTACCCACAACATAAGTAAGCATATCCGAAAGAGCACACAAAATAATACGTAAAAAATTGCATGACAATTTAGTTCAAAATGCACCGCAATATATGCAACAAAGCGATTAACGTTTCGAACACTTGTTAGATAAATAAAATTAATTAAATGTATATTAATTAAACGTATCTTATTCTTACTTAGGAATCATTCAAATCAAACACAGAGTGAGAGAGTCTAATAAGTACAGACCGACGCGACGTGACGATAAGACAATAGCAACGACAGGAAGCAATTCGTGACATTGCTCGTGTTCATAAATACAATCATGAACAGAAGTAAGTAGATGTCCATTAAATCGAAATTACAAGTTAGTTCATGCGAACCTGGCGGACTTCGAAACTCATTTTTCTCGAAAACAGAGTCTTAAACAGTTAACTGTGTTCGACAAGTATACACCTTATCCTAAAACGCAAAATAGTATTAATTTTTTCAACGATCAATTCTTTATTTTTCTCAGATAAACATGTAATTGTTTTGCATTTCGCTGTAGTTATTCGTTAGAATACATTACAGGTGCATCTGCTCTGTGTTTGACGAGTACATACTTAATTACTTGTTTTTATTGCGTGCACAATGAGAGAATTTTTCAAATTAATTCTACAGTTAACTGGTTAAATGAACAAAAATTATTCCATCTTTCCCCAACATATTTTTACATACATTATAGAATAGCAGTCTGGTCGATTATATTAAAATTATAGGGGTACTCTTTGTATTCAAAGTAATTGATAAATATTTCATTAGACCCTAATGTAATACGCATTATCGACTTTTCTATTTTGACTTCTATGATGTTTAATGTTTCTCAAACTAATTCTCTGCTCATGTTGAACGTTTCTTTTTTGAGTGACTGGTATTTCAATCGTAAGGTATCGTTTCAAAACCGAGGGATCAATAACAGGCGACTTTTCGATTCATTCTTTGTTGTAGTCCAATTGGTCGTTTCTTTTTGATCCAAAATACGAGCTATTCAAGAAATTATTTAAAGAGGCTTCCATTCCAGGCACAAAATTAATTAATTCTGGATTAAACAACGAACTAACCAAGAGAAAGGTGTCTTCTACGTTCAAAGAAAACAATATGTAAATTTTGAAAATAATTACCGTTCGAGAAAATATTATTATTGTAAAACGTACAGTTCAAGGTTCCAAACAAGTCTATACAAAGATAGCGGAAAGGAAGAAGATAAGTAAAAAAATTTGGTGTCGGCGAAGGAACCTCTTTCGATATTTGTATTACATTTTGAAATGTTATCCGCATTTCGGGTGTATACATATAAATACTACGAGATCGAAAAAAAATATTACAGCTTTCTTAAAGGCGTGTATAAAATTGAACGTTGTTTAGTCTGCGAGGCAATTGCTGGCCGCCCCCGCGAAAAATACGATCGCAGCTGTCGTCGAGAAGTCTCCAGATAGTTTCAAAACTAGAATCGAATAACGAGCCAATCTCGAAAATCGACGATGACATCACGTCGGTGCTATTTCGACCGAAATAAATATACCGTACATCGACATACCCCCGTCCTCCTATATTTTTCGACACGAAAATTTATCTTCTTTCAGGGCTCTACGGATTCTTTACAAATATTATCCGATATGTTATTCACATTTTGCGATCGCTTGCATCTTCATCGTGACCTGATCATTATACTCAAAATGACAATATCTTCATAAAAAAGATATAAAACCATACCAACAAACGATATTTATTAAGCTATTTGAAAAACCTGTGATTTAGATTTATGTATATAAGAAACTTTCCTTCGTGAAAAATATCTCGTTGTCAAACATGTTCGCTGCCGCTATTTTAAGAAAAAATTGTCCGTAACATAAATCAAAATAGATTTTCTTCAAAATTTATTGTTTCGCGCATTATGGGTACTCGTATTTTTCATTGACACTAAAAGAAAATATGAAAAAGAGATAAGAAGTATTATAAGGTGTACAAAATTTCTTTTCATTTGGTTTCTTATTATAATTATTACGTGGCATGCATTTTTGCATTAATATTAGAGTCTTACAGGATGAATTGGTATTCATTTCATTGTTTCAAATACAATGTTGTTACTCTTAATAAATAGAAAGATAAAGGAATTGCATACTTATTGTGCATCAGCTTTCCTATAAAAATTACATGGACATTGGTTTCACAGAAAATAGCATTACACTACATTTTAAGCGAACTAAATGATTATTTACAAAACGATAATCTAAATAATAAGAGAATCAATTTTCAGAAAACGAAGACTTTTTGTAGGAGTATACTTGAAATTATACTTGAAAGAGTATACTTGAAAGAGTATACTTGAAAAGTAGATAATCAAAACGTACTAAAAAATTACTTGCGTCGCACGTGCTGTGTTTTTACAGTAACCTACACACAAATTGTATCTCTCGTTGCTTGAAGAGAATGTGATAGGAGTCTGATGATTCGCGATCAAGGTGCGGCCTTGAAGCATCAATCGAGTTTGATTCAGCTACGGATAACGCAGTGTTAGTCGTGGTTCCGGCAACAAAGATGAAAAAAAATGTACGGGGTATGCAAAATGACTTTCTGTCAAAAAGCTGTTTGAGACAATTGCTTGCAATCCTAATTTTCACTCGAATTCTAACCTCCAGATTTATTTTTATTTTCATGCAAAGAATCTTGTTGATAATACCTTTTAAACAAGTTGATTCCATAATAGTGAAATTAAAAGAATTTTACACGGTTTACAAGCGAGAAATTAAACAAAATTAAAGAGTTACAGAAATATCGACGTAGGTCGTACGATGTAAGAAATTGACTTTACAAATCAACCTCACAACCGAAGCTGTTCAAAACTTCATTGTTTTTCCACTTTGCTTTTTTAACGGTTCGATAACTTATCTATCAAAAACTTAGACCTGAGTGTACGATTATCACCGTTTAATATGTGGTACGAAAACTCAATAGTTTACATTTTACAAGATACTCTGTTTTCTTTATGTATTAACACGTTGACTGTCACGTCGATTACCAATGACCGAAGCTTCCAAATTACTTGACGATAATTACAATTTGTCAGATAACTAATGTTGAATGGAAATATTTCGTAGCTTAAATTACTAGATAACAGCGTAACGTAAGCATTGTGATACCAAATAATAAGTAACTGTTCCTCTTTATCTTTGCTACAAAAGAATAAACGATACATAAAACTCTGAAGATTTTCGTGGCATTCAACGTATCAATTACAAAGAAAGTTAAACTATTATGCAAAAGAAATACACTGTAAGTCCAGTATGAACGATAGTAAACGCAGTAATAAATAATGAAAGTCATTTTATTCTAATAAACAAGAAATACCTTGTAGATTATCATTTACATGATATATTTATACTTCTTGTTGTTGATAAAATGCGTATACAACAGTTCAGTATATATTACAGTTAATCATCCGTTCTATCTGTTTTATTAAGTTGATAATGTACAGTACCATGTACAGATAAAAAACACTGAATTCTATGTTCATGTTTTAAAATTAGGAAATTCATCTGCGATGAACAGGAGGAACGTTTCGAAAATAAAAATTCGATTGTAGGTATCTTATATATTTTTACGAATAAATAGCCTTACTCGCGGGAAAGGAACTTTCTTTAAGAATATGAAAAAATGTGTAACGCTGTGTTACATAGGGAAGTACATAGTATAATCGATGAATTCTTTCCTGGCATTTGCTATCAATTTACCATTAGCATTCCTGTCTTGCCACGTATTCGTACACTTAAAAAGAACGAACATAATTAAAGTCCCTTCAAAGACTTACCTCGAGTACGTCCTGTGCGGTCTGGAGATACTCACGAAGCATTGCCTCCTGAATGGCACGCCATTCTTGTCTTGGATCTTCCAGCTGCGTCGTCTCTGAAACAATCGGTTCAGACAAAATAATGCAATGATATTTAGAATCGAGTATCCATCTGTAAATCGAGCTAGTGTATACGCATAGTGGAATAGTTAAAACCACGAATTCGTATGTGTAAGAAACATGAAAACGTTAGGAGAAGCACAAAAGGAAAAAAACCTTTAAAGGGGTTCAATCGATTTCCTATCTTAACTTTGATTTCAAGTTTTCAATGACAGATGTAAAGAAATATAATAGATAAGGACGTCAATGTCCTTAAATTATATTAAATCGATCGACGTTACCAAGAAAAAACCTATGCCAAGCTGTAATCATCTACATTTACTAGGAAGATAATTACAGAGAATCTTCGGATTATCAGTTGTTCTCCTATTTTTAACACTAAATCGTATGCGAAAATCTTTAAAAAAAATCTGACAAATTGTAATTATAGAAACACATATTACAGCATTTATTCATATTTTCTCATTCACACTTCGACAATAAATTATGCAAGATTGAAATTGCAAAAGAATTCGGAGAAAAATTCGTTATCAAAGTTTTAAAGTGACATCTTCGTACTGTTATAGTAAATGCTTTCGCGATTAATGGTGTGCAGTTTTGTCAGTGTTTTATCGATGTTTTCCATGCGAGAAAGAGAATGTCTCTTCGAGTTATTGTATTTCCCATATGAAGTAGGTATGTACATAAATTAAACGTAAATCTTAAACGTCTCTGTTAGAAACGAAATTAATGTTCCCTATAAAATATGTACTCTTTTCATTATGAATCATGTGGATTACATCACAACATATTAATTGCAAAACGCATCCATATTACACAGATTATACGTAACATTCAATTGGCTGTTCAGAAAAAAAGCAATCGTTCGTTATTATCGATCAACAAGTGTAACTTACTATCAATGAAGGCAGCATTGAAAATCTAAGAATACCGTAGATAATTTTTGCTTATATCCATTAACAATCATAGCGATAACAGTTTTTCTAAAATAAAGTCTATATATGTGTTTAGTTTCACAGAAATGAATGATTTTTAGAAAAAGAAATAATAAAATTACAAAGGAAACATGTTATAATCGCGTATCATTTTTATCGATAAGTTCGAGAATGAAATCCATACGTTCATTTCATATAGAAAGTGTAAAAAGTAAAAAATTCAAAGAATCCGGAGCTAGAGAAACGATACACTAAAAAAAAATAATTCTCAGAATATTTTTTAAGAATGCAACTATCATTGTCCTATAGATTAAAATTGAGAGAAACATGCTTCATATGATAAAAAATCATGAAAAAATTAATTACTAATGTACTTTTGTATTTACTATTTGTCAAGTTATTAAAAATGTTTGCACATAATTAAATACAAAAAATAGATAAAAATCTAACATTTGGATTTCTCTTACAATTATCTTTTTTTATCAAGGAATAAAATCGAAACATTGTACAGAATATTTTTTTCTTGGTAAAACTTGGCGAGTTAAAACTTAACGAGTAGTGCATGAACCATTTGATTTGCTTTAAGGGCATTTTTGATCTCGTTATATGGCTACACCTAGTCTTTCTGTAAGATCGCCCAGCACTAATTTTTGAAGATGTATTTCACATTTATTTCTTAATATTAAAATCATTTTTTCTCTCAGAAGTAAGATAAACATTATTTACTAATAATTTCATTCTCTTTGAATTAGAATTTACAATTAGCATCACTATATGAACGATTTATAACTATTCTCTTATTTCTTTCCATATAATATAAAGTTTTTAATTCGATGGAAATTCTTCGAATGATTCACGAATTTGTTAAAATTATTAGTCTACAAATTTTAAATGAAATTTATATTTCAACTACTTAGTATGATTATTCCTTGTTCTTAATACATATAATTCTGTTTCAATCTATTTTCTCTAATGTCTGTTTGCCTCTTTAGATACCGCAAAGTGTTTCGAGATGCGGATAAATCTCCTACAGATAATCCTACAGCGCTCCTAGAACACATGGAATTTATCATAGTAGTAGGATCCATTGACGTTGAAACGCTGCTTGAATCTTACTAGATACATATATAAATATAACAAATTTCGGCATGTTACAATCGATATGGCCCTGGTTTAGCTAATACATTTCTAATTTGCTCACCACTATCCTTTCGGTGTAATTTTAGTCAACTGTTATGATAAATGAATTAATTTTCCAAAATAATTCGAAACCATCGACGATACCCTACCGAATTCTTCAACTTCTTGAGTGCCAGAGATTTTTTTTAACTTTATAGAAAAAAGATGTTGGAAATCGTTATTTGTCATTAAGAAGGGGTCAGAAAACTAATAAAAAGGAATTTTGTCTAAAAAAAATCTAAATTTTCTTTATGTTATACGTTTGTAATAAGAGTTATGTAATATTTATGTAATATTAATATTTCTTACATAATATATTTATGACGCGGGCACCCAGGAAGTTAAGGCAAAAATTATGTCCCCTTCGACTAAAGGGATTCCAATATCGTTGACAGACCGTATCCAAAAACCTGCTCACACTTTTATAATAAGAAGTACGAGACGTGAAAGTCATTCGAGAATCGAATGCTTGGGAAAACGCAACTCAACTATTATATGATATGTACCAAAATCTCACCAAATATTTTGTTTGTTGTTAATGTTTTAAAAAACGCCGTTAGTATGATAATTAAAGGAATACACGATTATCACAAAAATTGTCTAGTCTAGTCTGTTGGTCTAGTACAGTACAGAATATTTTGGATAAAAGGTTTATTTAGATCGAGTACCTATGATAGTGTATTGACACTGTTAATGTAAATGATGTCATTTTTAAGTTTCAATAAAGAATTTTTATTTCTTCGAACTTTTTAATAATTGTATAATTTATATGTTTAGCAATATTAACTAAGATTTTCAATGTGTCAAACAATTTCAACGAGTTTAAACTTCTGCATACAAATTATATAAACGAAGAAGATAACTTAATAGAAAATGATTTTTATTAGTAAGCTGTTAAACGCAACACTGTCGATATGATTTGGATCGAGTCACTTTTAATCCAACAGCTATACAGGTTTCCTTTGACCTTTACATCGACGTAAACAATAACAATGAAGAAATTTTATAAGCTACTTAACGTGTTCTATCTGATTCTATTGTCGCCTGCAAATGCGATCACTGAAATAACGATGTTAGTGTAATAGTATCGACGAAATGATTATATCGTAGAAGGAAACAGTACAGTATATACATACCACCTTGTTAGAACACAATAAGGTTAACGGAACAAAAAGTAATAACATATATATTCTTCATGTCATAGCTAAACAACGGATGTTTATGCAAACTCTTGTTCTCATTAGAAATATTCTACAAGAGGCAGAAACAATGAAAATTTCTTTCTTATAGCTGATCGTACGTAAATCATTTTTGTTAAAAAACGAATCTGTGTTTTATTGTTTTAAACATTCTCGTACGCTATAAACACAATAAATGCATAAAATCCGTAATCTAGTTAGGGTTTAAAGTTATAATAAAATGTAAAAAGAAAAATAATACGCACGATTAACGTGATTAATGTAGTATGCACCCACATGCTTATCATATGCTTCCTCCCATCCAAGTGGAAGCTCGTTCCCGATGCAGTCCGCAAACGTTTGAGGTTTCGTAAATCTGTAAATCAAGAAATAATCACTTTAAAATACTTGTCCGTTAATCAATTTACTAACGATAATTGGCTAAAAACAAATACACCATTATAGTATTTTCAAGGCAATTTTCTATATCGTTTTATTACATTGACATTTTTTGTACATATTACATTTTTTCAGTTTTACTCTTCCTGCCTCTTTCCTTATTAACGCTCGTATTCTGTTACCGAAACTTCTAAATATTTCAAGAAACCGAATCACTGTCAGTATTAACACAAAAAAAGGAATCAAAATAGTCATTCTCTAACCTGGTATAAATAGTGGTTGGTACGTTACAACATTTCTACTAAATTGAGTGAAAGGAAAAAAATATTAGTCTGTTCGAAAAATAATTTGCAACGATTTATCATAGATACAATCACTCATCTAACGAAAATAAAATATCACAAATATTTAAGAGAATATTATTAATAATGAGATTGCTGATATTGCAAATAATACTATAGTTTATCGAGAATTTGCATTCTCTCAATGGGCTCATATTTTTCAATGTTATGAGTATATGAATGACAGTGAAAGTTGGAAGCGCGCGTATAGTTTGTCAAGGCGAAATTTGTGTAATACTGTAGCATCTTGAGATCAAGTAATATGTGCAACTAATTCCAAGTATGATGTCTCTACAACTACGAATACAATTAGAAAGAAAAAAGATAATTCTGAGATATGGTTGTAAAATCTTATAAATATAATATCATTAAACATAGTACGGATACAATTATCATTTGGAACAATATCGCAACCTTTGGAAGAAGGATTATTTTATTACAACATTTTTATTGACAATGCTGTGAACAAATTTAAATATTTAGATAATTTGAAAACGGAAGATAGTGTTGAATAAATAGATCAAAAATACGTTCGAAACAAATTAAAGTAACAGTGAACTTATTTACTATGTAATTTCTATAAAAAAATTAGATTATTAGTTTCCGTTTCATTGTTTTTTATTTGATTATATACGAATCCACAAGGGAAAACTTTGTGGTTGAAAATTCTGTTCTAAGAAATTCAAAACTCTAAAAGATTCGCAAGAATGAAGATTTCTTTTACGTTTAAAAGTGTCGCCATATATATATTCGCAGTGACGGCATATTATTAGAATACCTATCAAAAAAGAGTAAAAATCAGATTTCTCAGCGGTTTTTTCCGCGTAAAAGTAACTGTATATTACAAATGAAAATTGTTGCCTTTCTGTACTCAAAAACATAATGATTGTTTTAACAAAATAAGAAGTCAGCAAAAACTAACTATTCTTTATTTCTTACATTAATCACGTATTTTTTTAGTTTCTGAATTTAAAACCATTTTAAATCCATTTTAACCAGTTAACTGTGGAATTTAATTTAAAAACTCTCTCATTGCGCACGCAATAAAGTCAAACAATGAAGTATATATTCGTCAAACACAGTGCAAATGTACCTATAATATATTCTAATGAAAAACTAAAGCTAAACAAAGAAGAATTACATGTGTATCTGAAAAGACAACTAATTCATCGTTGAAAAGATTAGTATCATTTCGAGTTTTAACTAATTTACTGATCTTCAAGCGGAACACGGTATGTTTCTTCTTAGTAAACTATCGGACGGCTTGTCATTGATTTAATCTAGTTCAAGAACACAATATTTGGCGTTTCTTCGTTAATTATACACTTCAAATACAGATGGGACAAAAATGCGATTTCCCGCATTTATAAGTTTTATGTCATTGCCGTGAATCAAAATATACAGCGAACCCGGTTAAAAATTGATTATTACGAAACACTCTTAATCAATGAAACCTGAGAACTTTCCCATAATCAACAGATGTTATTGTATAGTAGCAGATCATCCATTATGAGCGTTGACTCTTAAATTGAAAACACTAATATTACAAATCAACACTGCTTTAAGTAGAGTTAATAAATTAATAATGAAATCATTTTGAATCAACTTGTGAACACTGATTTTTGTCTTACATTTTTAACAGACGGACAACTGTTTTAAATCATTATAAGTTCCTACTTAGGTAAGTATTATACCTATCACGTTTGATACATCAAATGCATCGTTTTTCACTGTTAATCTTGTTTCAATACATTCTCTATTGCGTCAATTCGCATAAGTTCTCCATTTTCACAATATATTAATGTGACTTCACTCGTTTTTGAAGCTCTGCGCATGTGCACGCACACCATGAGACTGTATCTTGCATATAAAATAACCTGACCTCTGGAGGCCAACGACTAACTAATGTTTATCGAGGTGAAAGTGAAATGGAATCGGTAGTCGGCACAGAAGAATGCTAATAGCAATAAGTATGCTGTATAAAGAAGGATATCGATCTCTGTCTCCTTAGATTGTTTCTACAGATATCATTTTCTCTCTGAATTTTCTTTAATTAACTTGTTTACTGTGAAATAAATCTGTGTTATCTTGTACAACAGGAATATACATACATACATATACACATTCACTTGTTAAATACGTAATCCCACATATTGACATCTATAGAAAGCGTTTTAATAAACAATTGTATTAGAATAGTAGAACCTTGAATTAGATTTAATCATTCAGAAATATTCTTCATTATTGCTAGTATTGCTGGATATTTGGTGCTTTTTCACATGATAATCCTATGGGTATAGATAATCACCAACTCTATTGAAGTGTAGGGGAAAACTGGGTAATCGCGGTCAGCTGACAATGATGGTCAGTATTATTATTAAGAAGTGACATATCTGAAGTTCCTAATTTTTCTTGTTCACGTCTTATTATACGGTTTACTATGCGCATGCACGGGTGCCGCTCAATCGCTGTTCAACAACAAAGAAAAATAAGCTTTATCTGTCTTTTAGTATGATTGATGTAATATTTTCTATGCAAAATATATGGAGATTACTAATAGATATATTACGAATACGAAGGATTATATTCATATTTCATAAAATATCTTTTATTTACATGTTTAATATTCTATATTATCGATTAATACATATGTGCGCAATGATGGTTGCTAACCCACAACATAACTGTTTTTATTACTTCATTATTGCAACAACTTTCCTTGGTGGATGATTAATACACGGTTTAGATAAATTGAAAAAACTCAATGGGCTGCTGAAACTCTCTGAAAAGCAATTAAGCTTATTGACAATGATCACAGGATGCGAACAGCTAACAAATCATTAAACATTCCTCTTTCAGCTTTATAGTTGATAATAAAAAGGCAAGATAATTCGAAGTTGTTAAAGGCAGCATGTTACATTTCTAAATTCTTCAATAAACAAATTTATTTGGTAGAAAAAAAGATAAAATCAGGAACAAATCAAGGAAAATCTTGTTAAAAAATTAAGGTAGAAGGGAAAAAAATAAGAAAAATTTATCTTTTATCAAATGAATCATTATTAAATTAATCTATTATCGAAAGCAATGATAACAGCGCTGTAAACGAAAGGGAAAATAAATGCCACATTTGCTTCCAATTGGATAATATTTTGAGAATGAAATATCGTTTTGGTGCATCTCTCGCGGCCTATGGGCCCAATCTGGATGTTCCAGATGGGATCATCCTGAAGGATATGTATGCGGAAAGTGTTACAGTCCTCGGATTATTATTGCTTCCAACGTAACCACTATTATTTTTATAAATTTTGTTATTTAAATAAAGGTAAAACTATTTTTCTTGTATTGTACCAATAGATAAATAATTTAAGTTTTTGGAACACTCATTTAAATAAGTATTTTACTTCATATTTTAATTTCATTACAGTTGTTGCTTAAGTGACCGCCATTGCCCCATTTTCACCTACATTAACAAGATAGACCATTGAAATCACCTAAACAAGTGATAATCGCTTAAGGTCAAATCTGGTATGTGCACTGTCGATGAGAAAGAGACTCCTATGTTAGCGATGCTATGATGTACAGTGTAAATCATTATCGTCAATCATTTCTTTCTAAACCTATTACTACGTAATTAAAAATTTATGTATTATATCTACATTTCTATCTACTCGTAAGTTGTTTTATGATTTTTAAGATGGTCCTCTGACCCCTTTATTAACTGTAAATACGGTACTCGAAATTGAGAAAACAATGCAGCAAAAAAAATCCAATGAACTAAACACCATAAAAATTGGACACTGTAAAAATAGGAACATGTGTTCCTACTAAAGCGATGAATCTTGATGTGCAGCGTTTAGTTTAATCAATGAATTTATGTTTGTCAACAAATTTATGAAATGCTGGATGTAAACGTATAGTGAAATAATACAACGAGAGATTTACTGAAACTAAGCGGTATTTCAAAAAAATGTATAATACCTGAATATCTTACAAAACCACGACATTCCAGATACTTCTGAGGACCACATAGAGATAATTTTATTAGACATTCTCACGTTACGACGATCATAAAAAGACAGACAGAATATGTTTTTAAAAAAGGAGAAAGTAAGTATTGTATCGAACAATGAAAGTTTGTCTTAAAAGTTGAAAATGTTAAAAGATACGTGTAAACATCTACCGTAAAGCGCGTCTTGGCCGAAAAGTGACCCAGAATCGTGCCACACAGTAAGTCTTTTTTCATAAGTTTTATCTCTCTTTTAATCTACTGACAGAAACTAGAAAACACAGCATGAATCTACAAGTACAAGAAACATCAATTCCTTTGAACGAACGAATAATAAAATATACCCTGCATATTATTATAAATATCTAAATGATAATCCTCACCACCATCTTCGTCAAGTTGAACCTAGTAACTGATCTACGTGAAGCAAGCCTTAATCGTTTCAGAGCGCTGAACTTTTTTTGCTAATAAAATCTATTTTATACCTGTTTTGAAAGCTGTTTATAAAGATATGACATAGAATGAATTATTAAACAAATGTTTTAAAAAGAATCATTATACAATGGAAACTATACAGTTTTATGTATAAAAAAACGACCACTGAATAATAAAATTCTCAAAACTATTAAA